ATTTGATAGAGACAGACACAACGAGAGCGAGAGCACAAGCAGGGGGAGTGGGAGAGGGAGAAGCAGGCTTCCCACTGAACAGGGAGCCGGATGCGGGGCTCGATTCCAGGACCCTGGGATCATGACTTAAGCCGAAGGCAGATGCTTAACGACTGAGCTACCCAGGCGCCCCACTAACTGGAATTTAAATAAAAACTTGAAACATTAAAAAAAAAGAAACTTCAATATTAAGAAATAGAAATAAAAACATCTAAATTTACATCGGTTAGAAAGTCAAAATTATTCTACTGTAATCATTCTTAGTCTTCATCTTTTTTTTTTTTTTTTTAAGATTTTATTTATTTATTTGACAGAGAGAGACACAGAGAGAGAAGGAACACAAGCAGGGGGAGTGGGAGAGGGAGAAGCAGGCTTCCCGCCGAGCAGGGAGCCCGATGCGGGGCTCGATCCCAGGACCCTGGGATCATGACCTGAGCCGAAGGCAGACGCTTAACGACTGAGCCACCCAGGCGCCCCCTTAGTCTTCATCTCTTCGTAAAATCTGCTTTCAGATTACAAATCCTTAGAAATATCCAAATAGTTTGGGGGGCGCCTGGGTGGTTCAGTCGGTTAAGCGTCTGCCTTCGGCTCAGGTCATGATCCCAGGGTCCTTAGCAGGGATCCTGCTTCTCCCTTTGCCTGCCACTCCCCCCTTCTTTGCGTGCTCTCTCTCTGTCTCTCTGTGTGTCTCTCTGTCAAATAAATAAAATCTTAAATAAACTTCTAAAAAACCATCAGTGTCCAAATATTTTAAAACAAAGATAATATGTTGCATTTAGAAAATAATGTAAAACCTGTCAAGGACCGTGTATAGATAAGGAAAATTACAGGCCAATCACACAAATACGGATTTAGAAATCCTAAATTGTATATTAGCAAGCCAGATCTAGCAGTATATAAGCAGGATAATATATGATGAATAAGTTGGTTTTATCCCTAGAATTCAAGAGGAACTTCAGGAAGTCACATAGTGTAATTTGCCACATTAAAAGATTAAAAGAAAGCAATCACAAGAACTTAAAGCCTCTTTAGCAAGTTAGGATTAGAAGATAACTTAATATGCTAAACGGGGAATTGACACCCTCCCCCCAATGGATAACAAACTACCTCTTTATGGGAAATACTGAACGTTTTAAGACTGGGAACAAGACAGGGATTTTTATTTACACTCAGCATGTTAGAGACCCTGGCCAGTGCTATAACATTAGAGAGAAATGAGAAAATTCTGTAAAGAAGAACTAAAAATGTCATTAAGAAAAAATACGACTATATTAAATGAATCTGTAGATAAAGTATCAGAATTAAAATGTTCTTGTTAAGGTTTTTGGATATGAAAATCAGTTTAAAAATCTTTTCTGTTAACAGCATACTGTTTGAAAATGAAATTTTAAAGATTTTTAATTTATTTGAGAGAGAGAGCATGAGGGGTTGTGGGGGAGGAGCAGAGGGAGAGGGAGAAGCAGACTCCCTGCTGAGCGGGGAGCCAGATGCGGGGCTTGATCCCAGGATTTGGAGATCATGACCTGAGCCGAAGGCTGATGCTTAACCATCTGTGCCAACCAGATGCCCTTGAAAATGAAATATTTTAAAGCTAGTTACTTAATAGTAGTAGCAGGTACCTATGACTAAATTAAAAAAAAGTGTGCATGATTTCTGTGGGAAGCAGGTTTGCTTAGACATTAAGGAGACCTAAACAGAGACACCTCTGGACAAGTAGGTATTTTAAATATATCACTTCTCCCTCTATTAACCTGTAGTTTCAGTCATTCACAGTCAAAATTGCTAACACATTCTTCCTACGGTATTTTGACAGTTGATAGGAAAATTTAATGAAAATACAAAGGTTCAATCAAGATTAAGCCACAACACTCCTAACAAAAATAACTAAAAAGGACTTGCTCTATTCTGAATTATTCTGGAGTCAGATTTACTCTAAAGCTGCAGTTAAATTACTGCATGGAGAGAGAAACAGACCAGTGTAACAGAATAGAGACCCCAAAGGTGAGATCCCCAAAGAAATGGACAGCGAATAGCAAAGAAACCCTACAAAGCTGTAAGGAGGGGAATGACTTGTTCTACAAGAAAGATGAAATGAAATTGGTTGTTTTGGAAACAAGATGAAACAACCCTAGCCCTGCCTTGTGTTCAGTAACCAACTCCATTTGGATTTTTAGACCTAAATATGAAAAGTGGAATTTTAAAGCTATTATAATATAGGGAAATTTTGTTATAAAAATAAAGGAAATAATAAATTTGACACCATCACCCCAAACGTCACCATAAAGAGAATAGAAGGTCAGGCTAGGAATGGAAGAAGATATTTGCTATATATTAAAATAGTGAAAGACTTAGATACAACATAAAGAATTCTAAACTAGTAAGATAAGGCAGCCCAGTAGGAAAATGGGTAAAAGATTTGAACAAGCCTCTTCGAAAGAAAAATCCAAATGCCCAATTTGCATATGAAAAGATACTCAGCTGCCTCAGATGGGGAAAAATCAAAACCACAACAGATTACTTCTGCTTATCTTCCAGATTAGCCAGATTTAAAAGTCTGAGAATTAAAAGACTTACTAAAGTCACAGAGCAGTTGAAACTAATACCAAAGTAGCAAGAGTGTAAATTTGCACAATCGGTGTCAACTCCTTAGATATATACCTTGGAGGAGAGAAACTGCACACTTAACATACCAAGATACATGTACCAAAATGTTTATAGCAATACTATTGGCAGTGTCCCCAAACGGGGAATGCTGTAAATGTAGAACAGATAAATGCATTGTGGTATCCATTCAGTGAGGTGCAGTAATGGAAATGTATATGTACATGGACATATACAATAATGGAAATGTATATCTGTATACAACCACACGAATGAATCATACATGGAAATTTTTGAGTAACCCAAAACAAAAATGATGGTTAAGGAGGGATGCATTTATGGGTGGTAGAGTAGGGACCTATGAGAGGTAGGGTTCTGGGCAGTGGTTCTGTTTCTTAACTTGGATGGTGGTTACAGTTTTTTTGGTTGTAGGCATTATATTGTACTTTTGGGTTTTGTACTTTTTTTTTTTTTAAGATTTTATTTATTTGACAGAGAGAGACACAGCGAGAGAGGGAACACAAGCAGGGGGAGTGGGAGAGGGAGAAGCAGGCTTCCTGCGGAGCAGGGAGCCCGATGCGGGGCTCAATCCCAGGACCCTGGGACCATGACCTGAGCCGAAGGCAGATGCTTAACGACTAAGCCACCCAGGAGCCCCGGGTTTTGTACTCTTACGTGTTTTATTTCACAACAGTAAATTTTTAAACAAAGTATTGTGCTTTGCTTAATTGAGTACATTTTCTGTACTTTAAGAAATTAACTCTCAACATCCTCTTTCTCCCCTCTGGCCCTTTTTACAGCAGAACTCCTCAGAAGCATTGTCTGTACTTGTTTGTGGTTCTTCCATTCTTGACTCAATTCACCACAGTTTGGCTTTTATCCCTTACCATAATGACTTCCATGTTGCTAAACCTATTGGTCAGTTCTCAACTCTTCTTAATAGCTTTTAGCAGCATTTGACATTGTTGATCACTTAGCCTTCATTGAAATTCTTTTTTCTTTGGCCTGCAACACATCACATTGTTCTAATTTTCTTTCTTCCTTACTGGCTATTCCTTCATAGTTCTTCCCTGGTTCCTTCTCTCTCCAACCTCTTAATCTGAAGTTCTTTGTCCATAGATCCCTTTTTAATTTTCTTGGTGATTTCATCCTTTATAGCTCCAGCTTGGACCTCTCTTCCAAAGTCAAGACTTTTATATTCTATTTCGACATCTCCAGTTGGATATCTAATAATCTCTTCTCAGATTTATCACATTCGTTCCCTGAGGAGAGGGCTTGAAAGCTCTGCCTTCCCTCCTAGGTTTTGCCCTATATGTCTCTTTATTTGGCTGGTCCTCCTAATTTATATCCGTTTATAACGAAACTAATTGCAAAACAGAATTATGTATTTAATTAAAAACAACCTTTGCATATGAAAGTGTTGGCCCTAGTGGTGAAGGTAGTGTTTAAACTTAAAACTATCAGAGGTTGCCAGTGCCTTTTTGCAAATGGTTGTCAGGCTGCTGAACCTGAGTCAACCTGACTTCTGGGAGGGGAGCTTTCCTGCATTGAAGTATCTCCTGTATGTAGTTAACTCCTCTCCTGTGCATCTAGAGTGGTACTTGTTTTATACTATCCTTGGGAGAATTGGCAAAATAGTCACTTTTCTGTTCACAGTAGTTACTTTCTGTTCTGTGGTTAAGATAAGGAATCTCCACTGAGAAAGGCTGTTAAGATACAAACTTTACTCTCCTGTAGTTCTGAATAGTGCAAATTGTCACCCTGTCTTGTGCTTAGGGCCATGATAAAAACTAATGCCTGTGTGATTTTTATTCAAACTTTAGCTTGAGAACCTTTACAAAAAGAGTTACCTTAATGATTTTAAAGTATCTGTTTATATCATGACTTAAGTTTTTAAATGAATGCTTACAAATGAAAATCTAAGGGAATGCTGGTAATGAAGCACTTGGTTTAGAACTTACTAAAATTGCATAATCAACAATTCTTACAGCGTTCTATCTCACATGCCTTAGTCTTTCCAGTCTCCTCTCAGAACTAATAGGTAATATTTTTCAAATATCAGTGCTTGATAGCCTATAGTTTCTGTATCGAAGAAGGTACCTTGTTATTCTGTGGTTCATAAGTGGAAGGCAGCTCTTAAAATTTAGAGAAAACAATTTTACCTACACTCTTAATACATTTCCATATATTTAGTAAGTAATATCTTCTCAGATGTGTTTGCTTTTCATATCATAACTAATGATTTTAACAGTATACAATTATATTTTCTGGTTGATAAAAACAAATGCAGGGGGAAATAAACATGCATGTTCCTATAATAAATGTTTTCATTAGTAAACATTTATTTTAATATTATCTAGGCTATCAAGTACTAGCTCCAACTGCCTATTATGATCAGACTGGTGCCTTAGTGGTTGGCCCTGGAGCAAGAACTGGCCTTGGAGCTCCAGTTCGTTTAATGGCTCCAACACCTGTTTTAATTAGTTCAGCAGCAGCACAAGCTGGTAAGTGTAACTGATGTTTTCAGGGATAATATTTTTCTGGTGTTCTTTGAGATAGTTTAAAAATAGTCTTTTGAGTAGTTTCAAGAAGTATCTGAAATTTATTTTCCAGCAGCGGCAGCAGCAGCTGGAGGGACTGCAACTAGTCTCACAGGCGGCACAAACGGTCTGTTTCGGCCAGTTGGCACTCAGCCACCACAGCAGCAGCCGCCGCCGCCACCAAGCACCAATCTACAGTCTAATTCATTTTACGGGAGCTCTTCTTTGACTAGTAGCTCCCAGAGCAGTTCTTTATTTTCTCATGGACCCGGCCAACCTGGAAGTACATCTCTTGGCTTTGGAAGCAGTAGCTCTTTGGGTGCTGCTATAGGCTCCGCCCTCAGTGGATTTGGTTCATCAGGTAAGTTGCCTTTTAAGATGAGTGTACTCTGCTAAGTGGACATGAGGTATATGTATATTTTTAATAATAAATATTAATAAATAGCTTGTAGCGTAGAAAAGACAGGAATAAAATACTGGTTTATTAGTGTAATTCTGTACGAAAACTACCTCCTGCAAATCTTTTAAGTATTTATGAGTGTATTTATGAATGTTTAGCTCATTTCAAACAGCCCATCTTTTACCCAGATATATATATACCCCCTGGCTTTAAGAATTGTATTACTGTAATTTTTGTTTAGTAAGGTTTGTTTGGAGCAATATATTTTATACTAATTACTAGCTCTTCCTTATTCTTTATATAATAATGATTGAGGAAGTAAATATTTTGCCATCTTAAATTTCTGGTATTTTAAAAAATTGTCTTTGTGTGCTTATCAGATATTCTTATTAAATGCTAGTGGTTCATTATGGTTTTTTAGTTGGTATCATATATAAAAATAAAATACAATGAAATGTTCTAAACAGAAGCCCCTAGGAAACTACCAATGTGCTTATCTTTTAGACTAAATAATTTAGCCTTTATCACTAAAAATTCATCTAAAAGGATGTTTCTTCTCATATCCTGGTTTTATGTATAATACTTAACAAATTTAAATTTGAAGTAAGCTTCACAAAATAATTTACCCACAACAGACTGATTATGTAACTGAGGAATGACTAGGTGAAGTCTGAAGAGGCCCACATTGACTCCCTATTGATACACCTTGTGGTATCATTCTCTGAGGTTTCCATAGTATTCAGGAAACATTAGAGGAAAAATAACTTTCCCTAGTTCTGTTGGTACAGTTAATTGGTAGCCTTTTCTTCCTGAGGGGCAGGGCAATTTATTCAGACCTCAGGAGATTTTCTATTTCTGTAAAGTTCTAGAATGTTTAATACCTGCTTCTCATCTATTTTCCCACCACCTTAAAATACTGTATGCTTTTCTGGTGTGGAAAATGGCAAAACTAACATGGGCCAGTCGTTATTAAATATGTTTGCCTGTTTTCTAAGAAAGGATCTTCTGAATTTTCAGCACTCATAAGAGGAATGGTCTAAAACAGCTATAAACTTTTAGATGCAGAATGCTTTTTTTGTTATAATAAAGTACAATAGGGAAATAATCACAGTTGTAGAAACAAAGTTACCTAAAGAATGGGCACAAGAACTTCTGAGGGAAAATCAGGTGAACATGTAGACTCTTCAGTCTTTTAATTTTCCTACTTGAGTTTTTCATTTCTTTTGGATTTCAGTATTTTTATTTCTACCCAAGCACTCCCACAGGACTCATTTTTTGTTTCTAATACAGTTGACAAGCATTTTCCCCCAAATAATCTAACATGCTGAAGAAAACTGAAAGAACATATAACTTTTAAAAGATAAACTTTGTAGAAATAACTAGTTTCTAAACTAGAGATTATAGACTGTAAATGATTCAGGAAAAAACAGAAGAGCTTTGATAAATCTCCTATTCCCTTTTCTAATAAAACATGTCACTGATGGTCTGGAATAGATTTGTAGGTCCCCTTATCCAGTTCTTTAAATTCCCATTTGTCTCTTAGTTGTTAAGGTCCTTTCCCCCAGCATTCAGGAACTGGTTGGCATGAACATTTTTTCCCTACAAATACTTCCTGCAGATGCCTCTTTCCCAAAAACTGATCTTCTTCATGCCTCCCTTATTTATAATCATTGCTTATGCAATTCTGACTACCAGTTTGGGTGCCTCTGTTTACCTTGCTTCAGAAGGCATTAGCAGTTGCCACTCCTGGATGCCAGTACATAGCCTGTCATCTTCCCCTTCCTCTTGGACATTTTGTGAGAGTTCATTCAAGTGCCGCACGTGTGTACTCTTAAAACAGGTCTACCCGCTGCCGTTTCAGCATTATGGCAATTCCATACCTCTGTGAAATCTAAAACGATAGTATGGTTATGTGCACATACACACACAGAATCCGACACACAGTCATTCTTTTACCTATATGATGAAATTATTAACACTTATCAGTGTGTTAAATACCCCAGCTTATAACACAGTCGCTAGGAAGCTTAGCCATTATAATATAGTAACGAAATCATCCTTTCTATGACCCATTATTTAGAAAGTGTTTGGAAGTTTGTAATTTAACATTTTATGCACAGTTGACAAGATAGTGACTCCACTGTTGGTCTAGCCTTTTAGATATTTTAGGTATACTTTGTTTCATATTTCATAGTCACACTGTTGGAGATAATTTAGGCATAGCCAGATTTTAGGTTTAAAATAAAACTATTTCTGAATTAGTTTTAAATGTTTGGCTTGGCTTTTCCTTTTTTGAGGAAAATAATATTGCATGTATCAAAACTGTGGGGTTCTTTGGTTATTTGCCAGGGGAATGACAGTGCCACTACTCTCATTAGAGAGCTGTTGTCTTTTTCCTTGTCAGTTACATTGTTTTCTGAAATAAATAGGAATTCTAATTGTAGCCATGTTCTAGAACAATCACTTTGACAGTGTCCTTTTAAATTAGCATAGTTAATGTAGCATATGTTGACAGTTTTGCCAAAAGCAATTCAAAGAAGAAATATTTATTACATTAGTGTTTATATTTGGTTTTGCTATTAAAATGCATATAGCTGTATAGTATTTCCCTGTTAACGATATCTTAAAATGTACAATTTTCAGTAAAACATACGATCAGTCTTTCAGAAACCACACTGGCTGGTATAAAAGGTTGACTTGTGTTTTAATAATTTGCGTCATACAGTGGTGTGAGCCTGGTATTTTTCTTTTATAAGAATCTTGAATTTGGCAAAACCAATGTAATTGTTTTCTATCTGTATTACAAGCTTAACTTGGTCTACCCATCATGTGCTTTGCTTAATTTTTCTCTTAATTTTTTCATTATACCCTAATGACCTACTTAAAATTGACTTATGGTTAGAAAACCAAGACCTAATAGAAACTTTAAAAATTCTCTTGAAAAATGTTACCATATTGGTCCGAATACAGAGCTTGCTCTTTAAAAACTTGACAAGAAACATAATATGAAATTCCCTTAGGTGTAAAAGGCATTCAGTTAAAAAAAAAGGCCAGTGTTTAGAAATAGGAAAGAAGCACTTGAAAATGTGGCCGCTGAGACTTCAGAATTGGGAGTTTTGAACAGCCCTTTTAAACACTTGGTAAAGAATTTGATTATCCGATGTGTCGATTAACAGATCTTGGGTTATTTTTTTGAGCATGCATCAGTACATGGTAATGAGATTCTACCATTGTTTTATGATTTTGTGGAGTACAAAAGGAAAAAAAGACTAGAAGGTTGAATTTGGGATTAAGTAAAAAGAATTTAGTATGTAGTTCAGTAAGAGATGTATTATGAGAGAATTGTATATTATCTAAGAAAAAAAAGGCTTATCAGTCTTCACTTGAGTCAGGGCCTTGTAAAACCGGTAGAATCTTAGGAATGGACGATCCCAAGGGGTAAGTGAAAACATGTCTATGGTGTGATAACAGTAATGAGAGCTATTAATTTTCTAAAAGGACGGTTAGTTTTTCATATCTATTTTATAACTTAGTTGTTGAAGGGTAGGGAGAATGTGTAATGTGAAAAATACTGAGAAGTTAGTTGTCATCTCTTTCACAGCTGACTGATATTCGGGCCAATATGGACTTAAAGGACTATGGTTTGAACACAGGCTAGAAGCAAAATTAAATGTGAATGGTGAAGGCAATGTATTATTAATCTATTTATCAGGGTAATCCTTTTTTGGCATTGAGTTGAAGTCTAAGAACCTGATTCCAGAGATTAGGACACTACCAAAATTTAACCTTATTGGAATTTAATCTCTAGCGTCTCCTAAAGCCGACACCTTACAATTCCAGGGTTTATAAATCATACCAGGGTATTAAAGCACAGTAATCATATGTGTCAGTGGTAAATATGTGTGAAATAATAAACATATGAGTGCTCTGTTAAGTATTTGGTTACTTTATTGGGGTGCATTTATACCCTTTTATGATTAATAAGTTAGTTTATATAGTTATCACAGTAATTATCTTCTCCATAATGTTTCTAAAAATAATTATTGTGATCACTTCTGTTATTTCCCAGCAAGAGTTGGGGATAGGTTTTATTCAGTTAACACATGTATGTAATTAGGGTTTTTTTTATTTCTTCTTCAGTTGGCAGTTCTGCAAGTAGTAGTGCCACAAGGAGAGAGTCTCTATCTACTAGCTCTGACTTGTACAAAAGATCTAGTAGCAGCCTAGCACCCATAGGGCAACCATTTTACAATAGTCTGGGATTTTCCTCCTCTCCAAGTCCAATAGGCATGCCTCTGCCAAGCCAAACTCCAGGACATTCACTTACGCCACCGCCATCACTTTCATCACATGGATCCTCATCCAGTTTGCATTTAGGTAAAAAAAAAAAACCAAAACCCTTTTTATTTGTATGTATACATGTAAGTGTGTTTGTGTGTGTGTTTATAATATATGTAAAATATTTAATGTTGGATAAAACATGCCAAATTGCTTTTGCTTTTAGATATTAGCCTTTTGAAAAAGTTCTACTTTCGTGAAAATTCAAAGTGAGGGTCTAATGTACAGTAAGGTAAAGACCCCTATTGTATCTTATGTTTCTTTTATGAAATACAGTGGTGTGTTTTTTCTTGTCTGTGCTTTTGATTTGTGTGTGTTTTAGATCATCTGAAAAGTCAACTGTTTAAACCTGATAGTAAAAGAAATTTTACTGTTGCAAGTTTTTGCACACCTAAAGGAAAACATTAGTCACATAGTTACTGAAGTTCAAATAATTTAGATTAGTACAATGGTTTTTGCTTTGGCCTTTGAGTGCCTGGCCATTTTCTCAAAGGTTGTATCAGGGTATATGAACTTAGTATGTTTATGAGTTAGAGTCTTATGGGTTTGGTCCATATACTCTTACTTTTGAATATGTCGTTAGTTTAAGAAAAAAAATGTTTTAGGCTTGTTATACCCTTAAATTTGGAGCATTTAGAACTTTTGTTTCTATCTATATGTTAAAATTGCCCCCCACCCCAAGATGATTGAGATGGTGGTTACCCTTTTCCCTCTCCAGGATGTATTTATTCATGTAGTTAACAGTATTTTTAAGAGATTTTGGATATCAGAGGCTGTGTATGAATCCCTGTCTCTTCAAGGAAAGTTATTGATTAAAATTAGATTTTGAATTTTTGTAACTTTAGTAAACTCAAAACAGATTCTTTTTTTTTTGATTTTTATGTGCTTGGAAAGATTTAAATCAGCTTGTGATTTAAAAAGTAATGTTGGCTGTTGTTAGCAAATATAAGTTAGTGATTATATTTGACCCCCCCCGTCATAAGCGTATAGCAGTTTTTTCCTTAAGTTCATTAATACATAAGTGTCCATGTAACAAAAGGATCTTTTGCAGTGATCATTGTTTAGATATATGTCATTGTGAAGTGGCCTAGAGTTTTAAAGGCTGGTCCTGCGCCCCAAATTCTGGGTCCTTGCTCTTTTGTAGATATTAAATATATACAACTATTAATTTATTTGGGTGGGGTCCTAAGATCTCCTTCCTATACAGCACTATTTGTGTAAACTTAGTTTTTAGCCTGACATCTTGTTCATTTATCATCTTTTCTTGGTCATAGGAGCTGCTCAGTTCCTGATCGCTATTATATCTACTCAGACCCACTCACTCCCACCACCCCCATGTAAGACATGCCTTTGAAACTTTGAAATGGACACAAAAATTTGGAACATAACAAGCCTAAGAATAGGTCTTTCATAATAGTTTTGTGTTTTATTTGTTAAAAATTATATTTGTCATGTCCTGTCCTTACCTAGGTAAGTTCCAGATCAGATTCCTGTCAACTGTTAGTGCTTATGTTGTGCTTTAGAGCCTGTAAAAATGGCATTAATTATTTTACATAGCTTACTTAGAAATTAAACACAAATGACTTTTTAGATATATCTATAATTAAACAGCAATCAAGATATTTTTCTTCAGACTGTAAAGAACCCAGCTGTGTAGATGCTTAGGGAAGAAATTCTTGTCAGTTATGAGAAATAATCATCATTTGGGCCAGCATTTCTGCATTACAGCCTGATACTTTTGTACCCAAAGTTAAACCCCTTAGTTTAGCTTCAGCTGGAAATCTGGTATTTTAATACACCTCTGATTAGAATTATCTGTAGATGACTTTCTTTTGTGATCTCCCAATTTCCTTTAGTTTTAGCTATAGTAAGACTGGCAATATTGTTAACAAGGACCATATAGACCCTGCCAGGTTGGAATAATTTAATAGATTGCATAAATTTGCTCTTTTTTTTTTTTTAAAGATTTTATTTATTTATTTGAGAGAGAGAGCACATGAGAGGAGGGAGGGTCAGAGGGAGAAGCAGACTCCCTGCTGAGCAGGGAGCCCGATGCGGGACCCGATCCTGGAACTCCAGGATCATGACCCGAGCCGAAGGCAGTCGCCCAACCAACTGAGCCACCCAGGCGCCCTCATAAATTTGCTCTTTACATAGTGTTCATGGAAGTAATCTTTGCTTTCATCTGATTATATCACAATACAAGACTTACATGCTCTCTGGTCTAAGAAAATAATTGTATATCCTTTAGGTGATTTCTTCATGAATCAAGTTAACAAGGCAGATGATTTAGAAAATACCTATGGAAATGAAGTTGCATATCCATTTTTAGAAATAATCTTACTCAGCTCACATACTAAGAATAGAATATCATGAGATAGGAGTTAGTTCTCAGTTTTATTTTAATTGGTTGGAATTAATTAGTTCCAGGTTATTGTCTTGTAAGATTTTCAGACAGGTAACCATTATAATTATTGATAGGCCCTCCTGATACCTATATTCTAAAAGTATTGAATGACACACTTTTTTTTTTTTTAAACCAGCTCTCCCTTTGCTAGTTATTTGATTCACAGAAAGGGCCTAATAGCAACATTGTGTGTTTCTGTCTTTCCAAAAAAGATGTTTTGTTTTTTAAAATAGTTTTCATTTGATCAACATAAGTATTTTCAGCTTATGACTACTATTCACTTTTTCATTAAAGAACAAGTATTTCAATTGATAGGTTTTGGTTCACTTTTTAATTTACTTTTATTTTTTTTTTAAGATTTTATTTATTTGATAGAGGGGGGGATAGAGCAAGCGCAAGCAGGAGGAGGGGCAGAAGGAGAGGGAGAAGCAGACTCCCCGCCGAGCAGGGAGCTCGATGCGGAACTCGATCCCGGGACTCCAGGATCATGACCTGAGCTGAAGGCAGCCACTTAACCGACAGCCATCTAGGCGCCCTGTTCATTTTTTTTTAAACTAAAATATTCTGGGTTTGCAACCTTGTTACATTTTTAATGAAGCCAGGAACATGAAAAAATTTTATTCCTCCATTTCCTAGGACAAAATTTCCAAGAGATAAAATTGCTTTTTAAAAACAATTACAGGGGCACCTGGTGGCTCCGTTGGTTGAGCGACTGCCTTCGGCTCAGGTCATGATCCTGGAGTCCCGGGATCGAGTCCTGCATTGGGCTCCCTGCTCAGCAGGGAGTCTGCTTTTCCCTCTAACCCTCCCCCCTCTCATGTACTCTCTCTCTCTCATTCTCGCTCTCTCAAATAAATAAATAAATCTTTAAAAAAATAACAGAGCCACAATATCATCATATCTTTTAAAATCAATAATTTCTCATTTTTCTGTGTTCCCTAATTGACTTAAATGTCTTTTTATGGGTCTTTATAAGGCCCCATACATTGCATTTGTTTGATATGCCCTTTAATCTGGAGCCATTTCCCCTTCCTCTGTTTTTTCTTTCATTTCTTTGTTGAAGAAACTTTGTCCTGTTGAATTTCCAACATTCCTAACTTTGCTGACTGCTCCCCCATGGTAGTATTTAATGTGTTCCTCTATTTCCTGTATTTAAAATGGAATTAAATCCAGAGCCCTGGTCTTATTGTTTGTTTTTTGCTGTTTTTGGCAAAATGGGTTCTGTATTCTCTCTGTTGCACCATATCAGAAGACATGTCTCTGGTTGTCTCCATTGTGAACTTGTCAGCCTGATCCCCCTAATGGCGTGCAGCCTTCATCATTGTCTGTTTTTCCAGAGGTTGCAAAGTGGTGAAACTCTAATTCTCTCATACCTTCAGCATTTATTAGCTGGAAGTTTTCTATAAAAAAGAACTTTGCATCAGTTGTGAGGTTACCCTGGAATATAGTTCATACAGGAGTCAGGATAATGCTTGATTTCTTTAACTTTATTTTCTGACTTTGAGAATTAACTTCTGAGAATGAGTTGATGGCCTAGCAATTTCTGTATGTAACCTGTGTTCTTTTAATCATCGTTACCTGTAAATTGATGACTTTTTTAGGGTAGTTTATAGGTTTTAATCCATTGCAGTCTGAGAGACATCAATTTTATACCTTTTTTTGTTCCTAAAATTTTTACCATCTGGGGTGCTTGGGTGGCTCAGTCAGTTAAGCATCTGCCTTCAGCTCAGGTCATGATCCCAGGGTCCTGGGATTGGGCCCGGTGTCAGGTTCCCTGTTCAGTAGGGAGTCTTCTTTTCCCTCTCCTTCTGCCCCTCCTCCCACTTGTGTTCTCTCGCTCCCCTGCGCGCTCTCTCTCTCAAATAAATAAATAAAATCTTTTTAAAAAAATGTACCGTCTTTGGCCATTTGGAGCCCTTACAGTTGGCTCCCATTTGACTATAGCTTTTTAAAAGCATTTAAATACTGGGAATCAGAAACAGTGGGAAGGAACAAGGAAAGAGAAGAAATTTAAAATTAATGGTTTTTATCTTGAAATGCAAAGAGCAGTGCCATATTCTGTGCTTCAGGTTAAGTGTTCAACATTAAATGAATTATTTTTTCATGTTTTCTTGATCTGTAGAGATGGGGGGGGGAATCTACCTGCAGTTGTTTCTTTAATCATTCTCTCTGATAGAAGTCAGTATCTTATTTTGAGGTACTTCATCTCTGTGAAAAAAACATTAAATATTTCCAGTATTATTTTATTCTCCTTGGAGCTAGCTAACAAATTCTTTCCTTCTCTATTTTTCCTTTTTTAGTAAGCTTTTAAAATATGGTAGTGATTTCTGATTTACTCATCTTTATGCTCATAGTAATCAGATTGATACACAATTTCCTGGGTATAAAGCAACATTCTGTGTTTTTATTTAACTTAGGACTTGACAAACTGATGGCTTATTCTTTGGATCTCTTCATTTTTGAACTGGCTTATGTTTTTCTTAAGCACAGGGTACTAAAAAGTGTAATTCAAGCTTTGAGCTTAGTGAAATTAGTTTATTAAATAAAGGTGGCTATCAGTTCTGACTATGTCTTATATTCAGTAATTAAATTCAGTACTTTAGCTTGTTATGGATTAGAAGATTTTTATAAC